AAATATACTTCTCCTACATAGAAATGCCTAAGTAGGGCAAGCTGGGACTTTGGCAAATGGCGCGTGAATTATATAAGAGATTGCGTCGACGACCGCCTGTGTATGCGAAGAATTGTGTAAAAATAATGTCACCAGTTGTTTTGCCTAAGTGAGAGGTTAAGAGGCGGGTACTGAGGAATGTTGAGTGCAAGGTGAGGTGGTTTGAAGTACGGTAAATCCTTTTTAGAGTGCTACATCTGAACCGTGGTACGGCGTCGATTATTGTAACTGTTGGCCCTTATTAATGTGTACTTATTTCCACGCACAGGTTTAAAATCAACGAACGAAGAGTTTTCAAAGGATCCGTACCCAAAGGGATTCGATTCCTATTAAGAATCCTATTTCTGAAACTACCTTTGTCCGGTAGAATAAATGCGATCACGAATTTCCTTTCTAATGTGATTTATATTGCAAGAATGTGAACCCGGAAACATTAAATGAGTTTGAACACAGTGAACTAATGTAATAAACATTAGTTCACTGTGTTCAAACATATTTTAGATTTTTTTTATCATTTTCTACTTTTTTGCCGCCATATGTATATGAATTGTATACTGTTATTAATTGTATCATTATCCAGACGCTGAAATATTTGTTTTCTTAATTTAATGGTGATTACCTGTGGTTAATACGGAACTTAATTTCACTCTATACTTTAAGAAGATATAGGGGAATCTGTACTAATGTTGGTCCCCCACACATGATTGGCCCTCTTGCATTCACACTAGAATATAAAGAAATTTAAATATAGAAAACACTGAACACGATATCTTTTTATTATTCGGTGATGGCAATTCTTCAATCTTCTTTACATAATCTACCTCTCCAATATTTTTTTTTAAAAAACCCTTTTTTCTTGTACTTATGATAAATCACATATTTTATACGCATTAGCATCAAAACACATATCACCAGCGCTCGATGGCGCAGGTGGATAGCGCGTTTGGCCTGCGGTCATCAAAGTTAAAAATCTTTCGCCCAGGTCGGTCATGGGATGGGTAACCAAAAACTTATTATCTCGTTCTCCTCCGAGCTTCTGCAGTCGTTAGCACCTACCAATCCACACTGAGCCCACGTGGTGGGTCATGGCCTAATCTCCCTATTCCATTATATTCCAGCCATAGGAATTCCGTGCTCCATATGCTAGTGATGATGATGACACATATGATCTCGGAAAGGGATCGACACCGACTCGCCTTTAGTGCGCTTTTCTAAATTTTTGGGCAACAAAATGTCCGCACATTATGCGTGTTAAGGCTGTGACAAGTTCACGGTAGTTTTTTTTTTCAAGATTGAGAGATTTGTCCTCCGCCGACAAAATTCCACCATTTACACAGGCCATTATACATAACCAAATTAAATTTATTTAAGTATCTATATATATTCTAATACATTTAGGTAATTTATTAGAATTTAAAAAGTATCCAGAGTGCCAATCACTGTTAAAGATGGGGGCCAATTATTGTACCTCGAGGGCCAATACATTTTAAACTTTTTCTGTTGATTTGAAATATTTGATTGCATCATAATATTAAGCTGTTTAAAGTTTTCTTATTTTGATACTCAAACCCTATTTAACATCATTGTGGAACTACATTCAATCGAAACTAATAATTAATTTACTAGAGACAAACAACTGAAGAATTCCGATAAATCGGCCGATCATTATATGGTTTACCCTATCCCTAAGGTAACCAATAACGAGCAAGCGGGTAACTCGAGCCAATAGCGGAAGAAATTGAAGTGCTACGTAACGAGCTACGAGCCGTCTACGATGCTACGCCGCTACACGGGTCATCGGCGTGCACGTAGCACCCGCTACGTTCTAGTAGAGCTCCGATCATTCTTAGTAGATCCATTTTATTTTTTCATTAGATCTTGATTGCAAGCTTTGGATCCATACTTTTCATTCCCTCAGGGGATCCATTCACTAGATCCATGCTGGATACCTAAAATATCTCAAACATTCTTCTTGCTTTTGATAAAATGTTTTTGTCAAATAAAATGAAATGTAGTATGAGTATTATTCTAAATCTATTTAAAGTTATTGGGTTTACGATATTAACATTAAGCTACCTGCGCTTATGGTTTTTTTACCTTTAATGTTAGCATTTTAGTTTTCCATATAAGTAAAAATCAGTAACCGTAATACAGCGGCAAATGACGTCAATAGAATGTTGTCTATGTGAACAAAATAGCGCGGTTTTCTAGACTCTAGGAATAACCGCTCTTTAGGACGTAGCTAGAGAGCAGTAATTCTTCTTTAAGTCTTTTTGCGTCCGTAATAATACGGCCGCTATACAACGGCACCGTTAACCTAGGAAACCAGTACTAGGGGTACGGGGGGCACGAACCAATATCGAATTCGTATCGTTTGCGAATCCCAAATGTCAAATGTGTACTGATTTTTAGTACTCGTTACGTACTATGTGCCGCTGCTGTTCAAGTTTCCATACAACATTTGACATTGACATTTTAGTTTGCAAACTATTCAAATTCGATAATGGTTCGTGCTAGGGGTACAGAGCTTAATATGTTCCAGTAAAACGTTTCGGTGATATGTTCCAGTAAAACGTTTCGGTGATATGTTCCAGTAATACGTTTCGGTAATATGTTCCAGTAATACGTTCCTAAATCAATTTCAATAATGCGCTCGGTTTATTCCCTTTCAGGGCGTACTCTTTAATATGACTCATAAATTGAACCGCAACGTTCTTCCGATTCGTGTGTGATTGGTAGATGAGAATAAATGTACGTTAGAAATTACCGGTTATCTCCAACAATAAATAAATGCTAATAAATAAATAGATATCTGCTCCCACCTTGAACAAATTTTTTTTATATGCTATGATTATACTTTTCTTAGAGCCCTAAAGCATTAGCCACCATAATAAATATATAAAAAAAATATATAAAACTAAAGTTATTCCCCTATCTGCAAAGCCTATATTGATTAAGGTGTTTATGTATTATAATAATATTTAACTCTGTTATAATGATATAATATTAAGATATTTTAATTTTTTGTTCGATGTCTATTTATGTATGTAAATGTTGTGCACAATTGTAATTGGGCACAGGCATGCCCATAGTGTTTCATATCTTTTTGTATTTGTATTGTTTTTTTTTGTCTGATGCCTGTTATTGTGCCATTATAAATAAATAAATACAACACCACCACTAAAAGAAAGGTGGTATTTAATTGAGTTTGCTGGCCTAGACAGAAAAACATGTTAAACTAGCTTTGCCCCGCGGTTTTACCCGCAGTTTATTGTTAATTTAATAATACGTAGCTTATGTGTTCATCCAGGGTGTCAGCCAACTCCACACCCAATTTTATTAAAATCGCTCCAGCCGTTTAGACGTGAAGAAGTAACAAACATACACAATCCCAAACTTTCGCCTTTATAATACTAGTGTGATATGTGATATTAGTGTGATAGCCCCAAAATAACCAAAAACATGAACATAAATATATATTATAGCTATTAACGGGCTATTATGAGTCTCCGATAAAAAAACAAGGGCCATGGTAACCTTCCCGTTAATAGCTTTAATGTTAGCGACCATGAAAGTTTAAAACAATATATAAATATATATATTTCTCCAACCGGTTGAGAATTTTAGTATTATATTCATGAATATATAACTTTTCCATATTCTATTCCAGTTGTAGTAAAGTAAGTCATCCATTATTGAGTAGTTATATCGAAATTCATACTTTCAGCATCTTAACGTAAAATAATTTCGTTCTATAAACTTGGGACGTAATTTCTTCGGGAGTTTTACGGCACTCCCGAAAATGTTTGCTCGGCAAACATTAAATAAGCATAATATAGTAAATTCCCTTCCGAAGCGGTCCAGAGAGGTGTGTAATCTGCCATATTGTATTGTAGACCTTCAGATGTAACGATAACGGCGAAAATTGCTTGTGTAACGGTCTTCAATAAGTAAATAGGTAATTATCGTGACTATTCAGGGTGAAAAAGGTGTAATGTAGTGAAGGAAAAATGTGATTCTCCAGCGAATATTCGCGTTAGGACCGTAATTGTGTGGGAGGAGCATATTAGTAGTAGCTATTAATAGATATGTTATTATTTGGGCTAAAGGTGAATCTTACGTCATAAGATGCAGACCATATTTTGGATTCGATACCTAGTCAGGTTAATTTAAAAATAAATGAAAGAATTGTTGCAAAATTAGGAACAGTACCCCTAGCATGAAACATTATCGAATTCGAATAGTTTGCGAGTCCAAAATGTCATTGTCAAATTTTGTATGGTAACTTGAACAGCAGGGCCACAAAGGACGTAGCGAGAACTAAAAATCAGTACAAATTTGACAATGACATTTCAGACTCGAAAACTATTCGAATTCGATATTGGTTTGTGCTAAGGGTACTGCACCCCTAGCACGAACCAATATCGAATTCGTAACGTTTGCGAGTGCGAAATGTGAATGTCATATTTTGTATGGAAACTTGAACAGCAGCGCCACAAATGACGTAACGAGAACTAAAAATCAGTACTAATTTGACAATGACATTTCAGACTCGCAAACGTTACGAATTCGATATTGGTTTGTGATAAAGGTACTGATCTGATTTCTACTACATACAATATTAACGAATATCTTCGACATAGCTTCGACTAATGTAGCAGCTCTTTGTTTGAGTACTTTCTTCACTCGATATGCGTATTAATGTATGACGATATTTATCTATATTAATGTTTTTATTTTTGTAGTAGGTCCTAGCCTAGCCTAGTCCTAGGTATTTTACAGTTTATTGTTTTAAATTTTCTAAGAGCAGATTTCTCTAAATGAAATCGTACTAAGCAACAATTTTATACCAAATGATTATATTAAGTTAACAAACTTCATGAAGTATTAAACATAATAATCAACGTGCTTTATTTCCATCAGTAAATTTTGGTAAGTTGTAATAAAAAAACAGTACTCACATGATAAAGGTAGAGATTGGTATCACAGCCTTTGTCCTTTTCAACTGGTAGGCCATGCTCGTCGGTGTCACCTTTAACAAAACATAATTATATTTTTAAAATTTAATAAGGTGAACAGAAGTAATAACAGTGAGAGAATTTTAATATAGAAACTAACTGAACTAATATGGACAATATATTTATGCAACTTTATGGAATACACAATTAAATCTTTCTCTCAGATAAAAGTGACATGACACACACACACACACACACATAAAGTTGTAAGTAAATCAGGGTGATTAAGAAAGAAATATTCAAATACGAGCGGCCGCCTATGACTTCATCTGCGTTAACTTTAATTTCTTAAAAAACCCTTAGGAAACCAACACTTTTCCGGGATAAAAAAGAACCTTTGTCTCAATCCAAGTCAAAAACTATATGCGTACCTTTCATCCAAATCGGCAGTGCTATTCTGTAAAATTTTCATGCGCGGATCCGATATGGATCCGCGTGATTCCGATATAAATCCGCACGGATCCATATCGGAGCCGCGCGAGAAAATTTTCTAACACTGCTCTCTAGTGGTTTAGGCGTGAAAAAGGTAACAAAAAAAACAAACTCACTTTCGCATTTATAATACGAGTATTAGTAAGGAGCAGAAAGGAAACACCAACATTCACATTTCAATAAGTAAGTACATTCACATCCCCGTACGAGGAGCAAAAATGTTGATAGAAAATATCCTGTTCACCTTAGTGGCTAGCCCTGAAATGTGTCTCTTGCATAACGTATTAACGTTCAGCAAATACGGGGGCGCAAATATTATGCTTGCCGCGTACGGACGGGCTTATGAATTAGATATACTTGTGTAGGTATTCATTTTAGGCTGGAATGCCTAAAGGGCACAAGTCAAGTAAATAATGTACAAAATAATTCATTGTTGCAAACATTTTCAAACATCATAATTTTTTTAAGCCTATAATTTATGAGGATATATATGTATGTACATTTAACTAAAGACAAAATAGTAAGATATTTTCATTAAACCTTATAATAATTAAATTACATTATTAAAAGGAGTCCCTTTAGGCATGGTTCCGAAGATACTGGCAGCGTTCCCCCTTTGAATAGCTAGACCAATTATTTGTCCGAGGTAGCAGCCAGCTCTTCGGTCTCCTGTGATGTCCTTAACCTAAACCTAACCTTTTTGCTATTTCCTTAAAAAGCCTTAGAGCGCTAGAACCCCACGGACCAAGGGTCTCAACACCGAATGGGACAATTCATATTCGGAGCCTAGACAACTGTATTTGCATGCCTTAGCTTTTTCAGCCGCTTCGCAAGCCGCACCAGCTCTGTTGTTGGTTCCATGTAGATGGGAAGGGGCCAGCGTGTCTGAACAGGTTTTTTTATTTTTTTTCATTGTGTCAAAAGCTTGATGGTAATCCTAAAAAGAATTAGTTAGAAGCTTTATTCTTTATTACAGACGATCGGGCGGAGCTGGAGTCCATAGTGACAAATGCATTTTTTATGTAGATAATATTAGGTATTTATCTAAATAGACAGTTTATAATCATCCTGCTTATTAAATCTTTTCAAGGTTGTTTTGGTTACCATAATTTGGTAACCAAAACATTCTTTTTGAAATCCGGATATTGTTTTAATTACTCCAAGCAGTAACAACTATAGAATATCTGGTTGATAATACGACAAAGAATTGATTGTGCCAGCTTTAGCGTTCTCGTACAAGTTCTGGTACAAGTTTGTCAACTGACAAGAGAACTGTTGAGTAACTGTCGTAGGCAAGGGTCGGTTTACCTGTCACTGAAAGTGAAAGTATGACTAACGGTTGCACTCGAATAAGCCAGTTAGAGTCTGTGCGGAAAGAGAATGGGATTTAGATTGGAGGGAGCTGTAGTGCTTTTCTACCGTATTTGTAAGGTTTTTAGACATGATTAAATACAAAAAAACCGCAAGAAATCACAACAACAAACAAATCGGTATCAATACAAAACTTTGACGTTTTACAGATTGCTGGGTTTGATTGCCAAAAATCTTAATGTTAGTTCCGTTTTTTGCCACGCCCATTCTCTTTCCGCACAGACTCTACTAAGTTTTATTTTAGTTGATATTGTTAAGTCTTTCTTAATGTTAGAATGAAACTGTTTAATTTTACGAACTCCAAATATTTCATCTCAGTTCACAAGCATCAAATTTAATTGACGTCTCTGGGTGCGGACTAAGGTAAAATGACAGAACCACTTTTGTAATGTTGTCTCATTTTCGCTGGTAGCTATACGCTTAGGGCTACGGTCTGTGCTAAGTGAAGAATATTATTTAACGCGAAACTTGGATAATATGTCATGCCGATACTTCACTTGGCTATTTCTATTTATTTATTTATTTGTGAACTTGACAACGTGTCTGTATGTTATTGTCCTTATCTTGCTTACTAAGGCATGAAAAAGATAAGACTGAAATCAAGATTACAAATAGCATACACGATTAGTCAACTAACGTGCCGGCATCAAATAAAAACTATACGAAACCTAAAAATATCATGGTATTTTAAAACTAGTTGATTCGATTATGTATGATTCAATATATGTATAACTTCCTTCGACCGTGTAGGTAACAAGTTGAGCTTTGGAGTTCACAATAATGTTGTATACCGCCAAATGTAGGTTTGTGAAGATATAATCTGATTTCCGTTTGGTAGAGCTGAGGCCATGACATCAAAGGGAGCTTAAGTCATGGGAGCGTAGTTAGAGACGGAGTTTAGCGGTTTATTGGCTTGCGGTTTGGTGGCGGACGTCAGCGTTGTTAGGTGTGTATGTAACAGTTGCGGCAGTTGTTTCAACTAAGACATTTTAATCCGTATCAATTACTAGCTGTGCCCCGTGGTGTTACCCGTGGTTTATTAGGGATATTTTGCCGCAGTAAAACGTAGCGTATGTGTTATTTCAGGGTGTCAGCTAACTCCATACCAAATTTTATTAAAATTGCTGCAGTCTTTTGGACGTGAAGAAGTAACAAACATACTGACAGACTCACAAACTTTCGCTTTTATAATATTAAACATAGTTTAGTTTAGTGAGGTAACGAATGTTCTCGTTTGCAACAATAGGGATGATGACTAATTTTTTTTTCTTTGTTTATCAGGTAGATTATCAAAAAGTATTGGGCACGTATTTTTTCTTTTTTCACATAATATAAACATTGCAGAGATATATTGATTTGAAAAGTTGCATGACGTCACGTTTGAGTATACTTATAAGTGAAAATTCACTCAAAAGTGACGTCACGAGCCCCTACTCCCAAACTTTGACGCGCTATAATTTTGTCATTTTTTGGTTGATTGCCCAAAGAAAAAATACGTGTTCATTATTTTTTGATCATCTAACTGACGGACTTAATAGAATTTCGTTTACTGTACCCCGTCCTCACCCCTATTGTATTGTGGAGAAACATTGTGCCTAGAAAAACTTTAGCACTGGTTGGTTACCAATATTTGTAACTATTACAACATTGTTTATTTGGGGTTCTATAGAAGAGGTATTCATCATCATCATCATCATCATCATCATCGACCCAAGCTCGTCCACTGCTGGACATAGGTCTCCCCTAATGCACGCCACTGCTCCCGATTTTCTGCCACTTTCATCCAGCCCACTCCAGCCAGCCTACGAATGTCATCATCCCATCTTGTCTCAGGGCGTCCCACACTACGTTTACCGAATCGCGGTCTCCACTCAAGAACTTTACTATAAGAAGAGGTATATAATAATACTTAATTCGTATTTTGCGTAAAAAAATTGGGAGACGGAAGGGCTAATTTGTTGTCCGGAAACAATAGTGACTGGTTGGTAGTCGATTACCGCAAATTTTCGGAAACTAGTTTGTCCATCCGCATTGGAATAAACTACAATATAAGGTATGCTACCTACCCGAACAGTTTTAGTGTGAATATAGGGGATGCTGTTTTACATAATCCATTCCTGCCGAGTTTAGAAACTGAATCAGCAGGCGAAAAATCGAAGGTAGTCAAATATGGAGGCGAGCGGGTTTCAACATTTTATATGCGAAAAGCTTCTGAATAAATGGATCGCTCGCTCGGACGCGACGGTGTAATCTGTGGGTCATATAGGGTTGCTGCGGTTACTACAATAGAAACTAAGTTATTTTCCTTTCTAAATCTTCTATGCTTAACATTTCCAAGTTATAAAATAATATTTGTTTCTTAGGTTTTCACGCACATCGCTCATTAAATAAAACCAGTTTTAACGGGTTAATGCACGAAACTTTATTTATTTATTAACGTTTCGCAGCCTTTTCAGGTCTGCTTCGTCAGAATGATTTTATATTATTGGCTGCGAAACGTCAATAAATAAATAAAGTTTCTTGCATTAATCCGTTAAAACTAGTTATAAAATAACTTTAATTTGGAGACAAAAAAATGTAAATAAAAATGTATAAATATACCTTAAACATTGTAGTGTCATAATTATATCAGAATAATTATTATTGGTAATTTGTTAGATATGGCAACAACAGGAGATCTCGCGCTTTCTCTCTCTCTGTCTCCGTAATTTCAAGATGGCTTTGTGTAACACGTAATAATAGTAGTCTCCTTTGATGAAATAAAAATAAACTGTTGATTCACCAAGTATAATCATTAATACCAAACATCACACAACGTATGTTGTATTACATGTTGCGTTAGAAATAATCTGGGTATGGATGAACCACAAAATAGATAGTACAGGAGTTAAACTTCTGTATGTATTTCACTTTTCATACACCTACTTTCGACGTCACGCTAGTATTGATAACTTTTGACTTCTGTACCTTTAGCACAAACCATCGAATTCGTAACGTTTGCGACTCCGAAATGTCATAATCAAATGTGTACTGATTTTTTGGTCTCGTTACGTACTTTGTGGCGCTGCTGTTCAAGTTTCCATTCAAAATTTGACACTAACATTTCAAACTCGCATACTATTCGAATTTGATAATGGTTCGTGCTAGGTGTACTGTACTGTTTTTTTTTGGCTAAAAGAACCTCAGTTATACACCAACTCGAACTACATAA